AAGACAGAGAATTAGAGAGAAAGACAGAGACAGAGAGACAGAGAGAAGGGAGTCTAAGTAGGTAGGTGGTTCTCCCTGGGAGTCAACTTGGGGCTTAGTTTACTTCCAGGTGCCTCAAATATTCTTTGATGATAATCACCCTCCAGGGCTACCTGTCAAGGGTCTTGTTACTTCACTCCTTGCTCTCTGTTCTGAATATGTAAGCAACCTGTCCTTCTCCACTCCCTTCTGCCAGTCCAACGGCTAGAAGAAAAACAAAATATCCTTCAAACAAGCACCACATTTGCTATCCCTTTCTTTAGCCAGCAGCTTCTTCCCTGGATTCTGGACTCCTTGTGTGGACTCCACAGGGGAACAACCAGGAAGAGGAAAACGGACTGAGAGAGAGAGAGAGAGAGAGAGAGAGTCATGGAGAGCATCAGATGGCACCTGTCCAGCATGTGGACATTGTTAAACTGCATTTCATATGTTCCAAAAATCAAGAAGACAAAAGGAAGAGAGAAAGGGCCCAATGTAACTTTAAGAAATGAGAACTACTATGAGTGAAAAGAAATGTACTATTTGGTGGTAACAGCAGATTAGAAATTGCAAAGAAAAGAGTAGTAATTTGTGAACATACAGTAAAGAAATTACCCAAAGAAAAACATGGAGAGAAGAAAATAATGAAGTTTTGAAAAAAGCAGGAAGTAACATCCTCAAGCTGTGGGTCAACTGCAGCTGCTAATCAGAGTCCACCAAGGGGAAGAGAGCACGAGTAGAAAGACTCTGAAAAAGCAGTGACCAGACATTGAGCAAACCTCAACTGAATTCTGAGTTCATGGTTCCATAAAACTTTCTATATCCAAGCACAGAAACAGGAAGACATGACACAAGGGCCCCGCAGAAACTGTTCAACAGCAGAAAAGAGAAACGCTGACAAGCAGCTGGAGGAGAAACCCATATTAGCTACCCAGAGACAAAGCCAAACATGGCATCAGATTTCTCACCAGAAACAACACAGGTGAGAACACAGGGCAGCCACATCTTCCAATACTCCAGGATGAAAATTCACACAGAATCTTATACAAACTAGCTCATGATTTGTAAAATGAAACACATGTAACAATAGAATAATAGCCATGAAGGGTAAGGCTGCTCTTATTGCCTTTTTGATAAGGACACTAACCTCATTCACAGAGGCCTTGCCTTACAGATTTTCTTAAAGAGATTCCATATGAGATTCCATTATCTTAGGTGTTGGAGTTTCCACATCTCACTTTAGGAGGACATAAATCTTCAGGTCACAGAGAGTACTTTGCGTGCCTCTTAAGATGGAGGGGGCAGAGGAGAGCACAGGGAGTCAGAGTATGGGAGCAGCAGCATGAGGCAGGGGCAGGAGGAGGAGTGGGAAGAGCTGAAGAGAGGTAGTGCTCTCCCCCTGCTTGCACAATGGAAGCCTCTCTGGAACTACCCGCTCGTTCCATTCTGCTCACACACCTGCCGTGGGGCTCTCATCCTGCAGCCTTCTTTCCCACAGCCAGCCTCTCACCCCTCCTCCCCATCCCTGATTCTGGGGATCCTTTCCCTTTTCACTGGGTCTCCCCAGTCTTAGGTCCAAGCCCTTCACCAAGATCAAGATTGTCCCCTCCCACTGCCACCTCCTCAGATCTTTATTTCTAAACATTTTCTCTTGCTATTTTGAGAATCCACAGCCCAAGTGTCTTTAACATGAAAAAGAAGCACAGGCCAGGACTCCTCACGGAATTGGCGGATATGTCTGCTGAGTCAGAATCCAGCGGCCTCAGGTCATTTTGGATGTGATTTGTGTACATGTTAAACTTGAATAGAGCAGGGAGGATACGACAGACATTACAAGGATTAGTGCTTGACCTATAACCCTGGGCCTCTACATCCTGTGCATGCACTTTCGTTTGATGACTTTCATATAAGTTGCACAATCTGCATATTTTGCTTTGAGTTTTTTTTTTTTTTCCCATAAAGGCTTGGATTAGCATAGCACAGAATTCTGTATTTCTGCTCCTTCTTGTAAACTCAGAGACATGGATATCCCAGGACAGCTGCACAAATTGAAAACAACTCAAATGTGCATCACTAAAGAATATAAGGACAGGGGCCAGTGCTAGTTAACACCCTAGCCTGAAGTGCTGGCATCCCATATGGGCGCCGGTTCTGGACCCGGCTGCTCCTCTTCCAATCCAGCTCTCTGCTATGGCCCGGGTCCTTGGGCCCCCTGCCCCCTCGTGGGAGACCCGCAAAAGGCTCCTGGCTCTGGATCGGCTCAGCTCCAGCCGTTGCGGCCAATTAGGGAGTGAACCAGCGGATGGAAGACCTCCCTCTCTTTCTCTGCCTCTCCTCTCTCTGTGTAATTCCAACTTTCAGAGAAATAAACAAATCTTAAAAAAAAAGAATATAAGGACAAATTATGATTTTTTTCCCATTGGCACTGAGAATAAGTGACTGATGACTACCAAATCAGTAAGTTTTAATGAAGTAAGCAACCAAGTATAGGAAAATAAATCCTGAGTGATTACAGATTAAAACCAAGACCTGTTCAGAGCATACAAGAAGCAGGATATTATAATCTATAAAAAGAACTGAATATTGTGAAGATCAGATCGTGACAAATGAAAAGGCAGGGAATGACATGAGATAGCTTCAGTGGAGGATACATGAACTTGTAATTTGTTAGGGGGAACATTTATGTCCTACGTACCTCTCTGCATACCATTTTACACAGCTAAAGAAACTTGATCATTTATGCCAGTACATGTTATACCACGTAGTATGCAGGGTTATGTCAATCTACACTGCTCAATGAGGTGTGAGGATCACTAAGTGCATAGCACACATGGGAAAAATACAAGACAGAGGAGGAATAAAAGCTGACCCTTGGTCCCAACCAGATCAGTGACTGCTGATATTGGAAGAGGCTCCTAGTGTACACTGTGCTGGCAACCACAGACCTGACCTGACGTCTCTGCCCTGACAGTGGTGCCTCTGAGGATGCAGGAAACCTTGGCATTCTACAGCCTTGAACCCAGACATGAATTCTTTCCAGGAGATGACAGAAGTGCTTTGATTTATGAAGCCTTAGCAAGAAGGAATCCTGGTAAGCCTGGTGGAGAAGAGCATTTCCCATCACTCTAGGTATTCCAAACTGAGGGCTGTCACTGGAGGGCAGGGCTGCAGGAGTGTTCCAGGTGTCTCAGGCACATTTGGAAGTTAGGCCACAAAGCAGAGGAGAGGGGTTGGTGGACTCTAACAGAGTCCTGCAAACTTGGAGAGAAGAGATAGCCAGAGAGGGGGCAGAACCTACAGCCTCAGGTTCTCACGTCCTCATTCTAATGTGTTCCCAAAAGTCATTGTAAACACAAACTCATGGAATGTATGCACACACACGCATGCATACACATACTCACATGCATGTGCTCAAACATGCACATACCCATTCACTCACACACACATACCGATGTGCACACACAGTATCTGCAAAGAATAAAACAATATCTGACAGCAACAGCAATTAAGCACCAATGAGAAGCAGAAATAAAGCACCCTCCAATCAGCCAAGGTTGTGTGGGGAGCAACCCGGACTGGACTGAGTTACTGGAATTAAGACTTATTCTATGCATCTGCTCTCCCACAATATGGCGCTGGGAGAGGAGAAAACAGCTTCTACGCAGCTGCCTCTTGCCAACTTGAGTGATGACCTCCAGGAGCTGATCCTGCTCCTGATTGGAGGAGAGCAGCGTACTCGGCGTGTGGGCAGCCGAGTTAGGATTGGCGGAGGAGGACTATAAAGGAGGAGAGAGACGGCACGCACCAGGAACATCTAAGGGGAACATCTATCTGAAGGAACACCTGTGCAGCCCCCGAGAGAGCCGGTCGGCGGTGTGCCGCTCCCCCGTGGAAGTGGGGAATGTGGCAGGGGGAACTGCCCTTCCACGGAGGTGGAAGGGTCGGTAGCCAACCCGGGAAGAACCAGCAGCAAACCCGGGGAAGGCCGAGCAGACAAAAGAACAGCGCAGGGTCCTGTGTCGTTCCTCCACGAAGACGGGGAGCGACAGGTTGCTTCTCCTCTGGAGTCTGCAGCAGCCTGAGGAGCTGTGCCAGAAACTGGAGTGAGTAGTCAATGTGGAAGGGAGGATCAGGATAACCAGAACAAAGAAAGGGCACCTGGAGCCGGCGCTGTGGCACAGCAGGTTAAAGCCCTGGCCTGAAGCTCCAGCATCCCATATGGTTGCTGGTTCCAGTCCCGGCTGCTCCTCTTCTGATCCAACTCTGCTATGGCCTGGGAAAGCAGTAGAAGATGGCCCAAGTCCTTGGGCCCCTGCTCCAGCATGGGAGACCTGGAAGAAGCTCCTGGCTTCGGATTGGCGCAGCTCTGGCCGTTGTGGCCATCTGGGGAGTGAACCAGTGGGTGGAAGACCCTCTCTCTCTGTCTCCACCTCTCTCTGTAACTCTCATATAAATAAAATAAATCTTTAGAAAAAAAGGCCTCATGGAAGCTCAGCTTAGCAAAGAAAAGGAAGAAACCAGTCAGTGATAAGAATTTGTTTTAAAGTGCAGAATAGAATGTATTTTACTGATGCAGCTTGGCCCCAAGACTGGCACAGGTGGGCACCAAGAAGGATACCCTGGACTAAGGCCTCCACCCACGGGGAAGAGGAGGTGAGCTTTCGCCACTGAGGACTTCTGCGGTCTCCACTAATGCTTACCCCAGGGGATGGAGCTGCCCAAAGTCCACGGTAGAGCCATCACCGACCCACTTCCACCCCAGCACCTCTGACACTGGTGCTACTGCCATGGTGACCATGCCCATGCCACAGAGCCGCGCATGGTCAGCACTCTACTCACGTCTACCATGCAGAAACCAGCGCCAACACTGCCGTGAGGGAGCCTCCACCCCAGCTCCCGGCACCACCACTGCTTCATGCGTTCCCATACCAGTTAGTTACCCTGCGTGCTCACTCCCAAGCCACCGTCTCGTCTCGTCTCCTCTCCTCTCCTAGGTGGTCACCCTCCACGTCTCACCTCTTCTCAGCCCGCATGTCCCTTCACTCTCGTCTCCTCTGCCCGTACCTCACTCCTGTCTCAGTCCCCACGTCAGATCTCTGCTCCGAATGTCTTGTCATGTTATATCCCATCTCCTCAGCCAGCCACATTACTTCCAGTCCCGCCTTCTCTGCCTGCCACCACATGTCGCGTCAAGTCCTGTCTCCTCTGCCCGCCCCACACGTCACTTCCGGCCTCCTGGGCCTGCCCCACTCGTCACTTCCTGTCTCCTCATCCCGCCTCATCCCGTTGCGTCTCCATATGCAGTGTCGTAATAAACTCGTTATTCGGTCACCATTTATACAATGGGGAAACTGGCAGGGATATGTGTAACACCCACGGTAGCCTTACCTTGGAGTAGCAGCCTTCCAAGGTGTGTATCCTTGTCCGCGAGAATACACGTCACCCGTGTCCCAGGCTCAGCCTCCGGTTCCTGACACAGCACACCCAGGTCTCCAGGATCCCTCACGCTTGCGTCACAGGGCCCTGTGCGAAGAGCAAACTGGTGCCCGAATCAGCAGGCGGACAGGGACTTGTCTCCGGAGTACCAGAAGTCCGAGGGCCCATTCCCAGCCGGGGCCTCCACAGCAGCCCTCAAACTGTGGGAAACGGCCATGACGACAGAAGCCATGCCCATTGCCCGTGTCATCGGCACGCTTTCCTTCCCTCAAAGCAAGCCCCATGCAGCCCTCGCCCGGGTGCTCTTGCCCCTCGCCCCTCGCCCCTCGGGTGGCTGAAGCTCCTGCGCATTGGTGCCATGGACGGCAACGGTGGCCTGGGGCCCCTTGAAGCCCACTGCAGAAGACACCACTTCAAGGGAAAAGCTGACCGCCGCAGCAGGGCTCAGGAAAGGGAGATGGTTTGGCAGGATGGCACTAAGCAACAGCGTTTCCAGAAGGCAAACCGCTGTTACCACGGCCTCAGGGCTGACGCTCATCGGGAGGAGGACGTCGGGAGCAGCGCCCAGCAGCTCCCAGGGAAGAGCGAGGTAAGGAAGGGTGGTGGTCATGGTGCGAGGGAGCTGGAAGGAGATGCCAAGGCCCCAGCGCATTCAGCCAGGCCGACGGGGTGCACACCTGTTACACAGCCTCTGTTGCACTGCCTGGGAAATGGGTTTTAGAGTACTATGCATTGACTTGGGTGGTATAAAATGCTGTCTTCATTTGTCTAGTCCCTTAAAGGAATGAAGCGTTTCCTTCTGGACTGGGCATACGAGAGTCCTTCAGCTTGCTCGCTCATGGAGATCAGCCAGGTTTTGATTTCACCTTATGTCGCTCCCCGTCTTCGTGGAGGAACGACACAGGACCCTGCGCTGTTCTTTTGTCTGCTTGGCCCTCCCCGGGTTTGCTGCTGGTTCTTCCCGGGTTGGCTACCGACCCTTCCACCTCCGTGGGAGGGCGGTTCCCCCTGCCACTTTCCCCACTTCCGCGGGGGAGCGGCACACCGCCGGCCGGCTCTCTCGGGGGCTGCACAGGTATTATTCGGATAGATGTTCCTGGAGCATGTTGTCTCTCTCCTCCTTTATAGTCCTCTTCCACCAATCCCAACTCTGCTACCCACACGCCGAGTACGCTGCTCTCCTCCAATCAGGAGCAGGTCCTGCTGTTTATTGGTTGAACTGGAGGCAGCTGTGCAGAAGCTGTTTCCTCCTCTCCCAGCGCCATATTGTGGGAGAGCAGATGCATAGAATAAGTCTTAATTCCAGTAACATAGTCTAGTCTGAGTTGCTCCCAGTTGCTCCCCACAACCTTATAGGAGCTGGAGACGTGTTCCTATGATCCTTGTCCTTCATGTCTTCTGGAGCTGCAAGGTTGGAGGAGGCACAGGGCCCCAGGGTGCTGCAGCTTGGGGGCAAGAGAAGGTGATGGAGGCTCAAGGTCTGTGTCGGCTGGGAAATCATCAGTTCCCTCATTTGCTTACTGAAAGTTGATAGTTCAAAGCCCGCCAGGGGCTCTGAGTTTTGAGTCCTACCAGTCTTTTTACAATGAGTTTGTGGTTCACATTCTCTCTTAGCCAGACTCTCCCTTATCCTCGTTCCCTCTGCTTTAAATCATATATTGAAAAATCCGGCCTGAGCCTTGGAGATTTATACTAATAAAATACTTACGGGAATTTTGAAAACGAATCTGCCCTCTTACAAGGGTCAAAACGGTTCTGCGTCATCTGTACTTCCCTATGAATTTTAGGATTGTGTTTTCTAGTCCCATGAAGAATGCTATTGGTAGTTTGATGGCACTTGCCTTGAGTCTGTAAATGGCTAGGTGGTACAGATATTTTCATAATATTAATTCTTTTGAGCCATAAACACACCGTATTGGTGTGTGTCTGTCTTTCATTAGTCTTGTAATTTTCATTGTAGAGATATTTTACACCCTTGTTTAAATTTGTTACACAATATATTTTGTAGCTTTTGCAAATGGGATTGTTTATGTAATCTCTTTCTCAAGAAATTTATCATTGATGAATAAACATGATTTTTTTGCATGTTGGTTTTGTATGATGTTCCTTTATTACAGTTGTTTATTATTGGTTGTTAGTATCTTCGTAGAGTTTTTAGGTTTCTCTGTATGTAAAATAGTGTATTTGCATACACAGACTATTTGACTTTCCCCTTTCTTATCTGTGTGCCCTTTATTTATTTCTCTTTCTCAATTACTCTAAAATTTGAAGTACTCTATTGAGTAAGAGCCATGAGAGTGGCATCTTTGTCTGTTTCTAGTTCTTAGAGGAAATGTTTTCAGCTTCTCCCCATTCAATATGTTGTTGGCTGTGAGTTTTTCTTATACAGCCTTATTAAGCAATTTCTAACACTAAGTTTCTTCAAAGTTTTATCATAAATGGACATTTGGTTTCTTGAATGCTTTTTCTGCTTTAACTGAGATGATTGCATGATTTTTCTCATTGGTTCTGTTGATGTGATATATTATGTTCACTGATTAGTGGATTTTGAATGATCCCTGCAATACTGGGATAAATCCCACTTGATCAAGATATATGATTTTTGTTTTTTCCTTTAAATTTTTTTTGAGTGGCTGGTGTTGTGGCATATTGGGTAAATCTGCTGCCTGTGACACCAGCATGCCATATGTGCACCAGTTCAATCCCAGCTGTTCTACTTCCAATCCAGTTCTCTGATAATGTGACCTAGGAAAGCAGTGGAACATTGCCCAAGTACTTGGGCCCATGCATCCAAGTGGGAGACCTTAGGGAAGCTCCTGGCTCCTGGCTTCAGCCTGGCCTAGTTCTGGCTCTTGCAACCATTTAGGGGGTAAACCAGTGGATGAAAGATCTCTGTCTCTCTCTGTCTCTTCTTATCCTCTTTCTGTAACTCTGCCTTTCTAGTAAATAAATAAATCTTTTTTTAAAAATGAAAAGAATTATTTTAGATGTGATATTGGATTTGATTTTCTAGAATTTTGTTGAGAATTTTTGCATCTATGTTTGTCAGGGATATTGGTCTGAAACTTCCTTTTTTGTTATGTCATTGTGTGGTTTTTGGATCAAGATAGTACTGGACTCATAGAATTAATTTAGAAGTGCCATACCCCCTTTAAATTTTTCAGAGTTGTTTGGCTAGAACATGTCTAGAGAAAAACTAGCCACATGCCCCATTTAGACACAAAAGAAGGTTCTCAGGGACCTGGGCACTCACCAGATCAGGAGATCTTCCTGATCACCAGGAGATCCTTGCCTCTTGGCAGTCTCTGAAGCCTGAGCAGTGGGTCCTTGGCCTTAACACGGTGGGGGGGGGGCATCCTTTGTAATCGCTGTCTGCTTGCAATGCACTAAGAGCTTTGTTGTCTAATTAGGGAAGGGCTTGAAGAGCTTCCTGATCCAAAGGACAAATCCACACAGCATCACTGCAGTTAGCAGTTAGGGACAGAGGGTCCTCTCAATGTTAAAATTCAAATATGAACCAAGGGACCGTGACCTCAACTTATCCCACCATGACCACGGTGTGCAATGAAAGGTCTGAAGAGCAGTGGTCAGGAGTAAGTTATCTGACTTAATCTGGTGATAATAATCCCTCCTAGACCTTTTCCTTCTTGGCTGCCTCTGTTTCTTTCTCTTTCCTTCTCCCATTTCAATTTTTTCCTCCTTCTCTCTCGAATTTTCTCTATTCTCTCCCTACTGCCATACTTATGCCATTTTCTTCTCTTTGACTTACACACTGTACTCCCTTCCCAGCTACTGGTTCCCTGTGGCTTTGCTAGCTGCACTGTCCTAAATAGGGTGGGCTATATGGGTTCAGATGATGCCCTTAAAATTTCCATCATGGGAAACTTGCTTCAACTGCCAGTATGAAGGTTGGAAAGAACATTCACTTCTGCACGTCTTTCTCATCCTCCCAACTGGGATCCTCTAGGGCTAGACGTTTACATGAGGCAATGGAATTCTTGGTACCTCAGGCCCTTGTAGCAAATACTTTCTTCCACTGAGGATTTAACATGTACCATCAGGTGTCAGGTCTGGCTCTGTAAGGGGACTGCATAAGAAGCAGATTCTAGGTCCTTGGCTAATGAAACTCACTTGTGGAATAACTGAGAAGAAGCAGCAGGGTATATAAAAGCCAGTTCAAGTTACTAAGTGTCTGCTGTCTAGGTTCTGGATAACTTGGGGGTGACAATGAGGATGAAGCACAGAGAACTGCAAATGGATGGCTTTGTTTTGAGGAGTGAAAGCCATCACATGTTGCATGCTGGCTACTAGAAGTAGGTGGATAAATTTGTGAGCTGGTGTTTGGGTGTGCAGTTCCCTCACTCATTCATGTCAATAACCAAACTTATCCAAAGATGTGACCAGAGCAAGATGATTGTGAATGTGTTTTCAAGTGAGAATAAAAGGTTTGGGAGCATCTTTTTACCCCTTGGGCACAATCTGCAGCTTTATAGTATATACCCTCTGATATGTTTGGTTGGTGTGTGGTTGTTAATGGAAAAGGTTGTTGGCTCAGTCCTTGGGATATTCTAGTCATAGGGTATTCTAGTTGTTATTTAAGTTTTTTCTGGCTCCTGATTCTTTCCCAACATTACACAAATCTCTGAGGCTATTTTATTTTTCAGGCAAGGAGCTCAACTTTCTGGCCTCAGCTCCTCCCAATTTCCTTCTGCATTGATGTGTGGGTGTTGTTGGGTGGCTGTGAAGTCTCAGTGGTTGCAAATTTGCACAGTGCCCTAACAGTTCAGTGGTTTCTGCCTGTACTTAGCATATGCCCCTGGTCTGCCTGCACTGTCTTGTGGTGAGGCTGTTCTTACCCAACTGATCTACCACCTGCTCTCTGGAGGCACTCCCAGTGTCTGCAGGTGAAGGCAAATGCATGGACCTGATCAACTACTCTGATTACAGGTTGGTGCAGGTCAATATGTTGTATTAACCATATTATTCCAGTATGCCACCACCAATACTGTTGTGGCAGAGGCTTTTTCTTCTAATTAGATTTGTTTCTAACTGACATAATTAAAGTTGTGATAGAGACTTTCCTAAGGTCAGAAGAAGAAAAAAGGAGGCATCTGTCCTGGGAGTGAAATGTGGTCGTTATCTGCTTGCCTATGAATGCTTCAACTGTAGTCCCTACCTGCTTATATGTAACTATGTCAGGTTCTGCTTGTTAGTACACAGCAATGATTTTTTTTTTTTTTTGGACAGGCAGAGTGGACAGTGAGAGAGAGAGACAGAGAGAAAGGTCTTCCTTTTCTGTTGGTTCACCCCCCAGTGGCTGTTGCAGCCGGTGTGCTGTGGCCGGTGCAACGTGCTGATCCGAAGGCAGGAGCCAGGTGCTTATCCTGGTCTCCCATGCGGGTGCAGGGCCCAAGGACTTGGGAAATCCTCCACTGCACTCCCGGGCCACAGCAGGGAGCTGGACAGGAAGAGGAGTGACTGGGACAGAATCCGGCGCCCCAACCGGCACTAGAACCCAGTGTGCCGGCTCCGCAGGCGGAGGATTAGCTTATAGAGCTGCGGCACCGGCCCACAGCAATGATGTTAACC